AGATTTTAGCTTCTTAAGCATTATGCTTTTTGACTGTACTTACATCTGCTTGGGCCCTGAGCTCTGGAATTCTGTTTCAGAACCTCTCCATGCTCTCTGTATCTATCTTATCCTGTAAGTTGGTCTATAAGCCTAACTCCTTAACCTATGTTTTGACCAGCTCTTTACATAGTTCAGAGTCCTGCAAAATACCTCAAGACATTTTGAACCATGTTAAAGGTGCTAGTCGATGTTGTTTGTTCAAAGAAACATATGGTTGTCCTGCACCCTGCAGTGCAAGGTCTCCCAATGTGTTGGATTTAAAGACAGCCTCAAAGAAATCTCGGGTGAAGGTGCTAGAGAGATACATTCTTGCTATGTTATTCCAAGCACAGTATTTGAAGAGCAACAAGGGAATACAACACGAGACTAATCCTTGTCAGAATTCAGAGTGGTTTTCTTCTGATTCTCATGAATGCACTCAACTGAGATCACTCACAAGAACATCACATTGAACTCTTGCAACAGAACCTCCAATAGACTGGGAGTTGTTCATCCAGACAGTTCATGTCACTTAGATGTGTAACTCACTGCATCACCCATTTCCCACCTCCTCTCCACAACGCAATGCAGAATGCTTTCTCTCTAGTCCAACCCATCTGTTCAATTGCATTAAAGATGTGAATTATTCTTATACACTTTGTACCTTTCTTAATTTCTTCTTCCACTTCCTGTGGGTTGTTCAGTGGTAGACTCACATCTCGATAATTTAAATGTCCCTTCCATTGCGATCCCTTCGTTCCATTCTTCATTTTCAACTCCAGCGGGCACCTGGTCACGATACCTGATATAAAATGTTACAATGGGATTAGCCTGCTCAGTGAATTTCTCCAACACGACCACACATTGGGCCACTGGGAGCAGTGTGATAGCTGGGACCACGCAAAGGTCATGGACCACAAAATGTCAATGGTTTGAATCTCAGGTTGGCACTGCATAAGCGAATGTCACTCTGGAAAGCTAATAGTCAGCCTCAGTACCCAGGATTCCCATACGAACTGCTGCCACATGTTTCTGGCTAGGAAGGTCTCCGGTGTGATGCCACTCAAGACATTTGAACCATGTTAGAGGTGCTAGTTGATGTCGATTGTTTAAAGAAACATATGGTTGTCCTGCCACACTCCACCAGAATATCAAACAATCCATCATTGGTCAGCATCAAGAGCCACATATGAAACATTGGTTTGGGGTGCCAGGGAATTAGCGCTGCCTATGGAAATAGAGCACAGCCACCTGGGCAAATGCAGACTCAGGCTAAAGCTTTGCTTCCATTGGGATGCAGTGCAAACAATGGCAGATTGGCTGTCCATTAAAACCCTCTGCCCAATAGTGTTGAAGACAATTGAAATTTGCATGGGGTGGATGGCAGGCAGTCTGTCATTTTCGTTCGCATCCCGTGAAGTTGAATTTTAATTGCTTAGCTGCAGAAGTGGATAAGAGACATTGCCGTTTCTACTTTCTGATGCCTCTACCTCTTTGCTTTCCCAAATATAATAAATCAGAGTGCCACAAACCGTATCCTTAACTGCACCTTCATTCCTGTCTACTCCAAGTCCCACTGGATCCCCACATCCCAGAAAATTGACATTTTATCTTCGTTCATTCTTCAAAATGCCTTACTCCATATCACCTCAGTGATCTTTGTGAGAACAGAGACTTCTACTTCTCTGGCTAACTAGAGTCCCCCGATTCTGCTGCTGGGGAAAAGTCAATGTTATTATTCATTCATAGGATGTGGGAATCACTGGTTCAGCCAACATTTATTGACCATCCCTAACTGTCCTTGAGAAGCTGGAGGTGAACTGCCTTGTTGAACTATAGTAGCTATTGGGGGTGGAAGGACATCCTCAATATTCTTAGGAAGAGAGCTCCAGAATATGACTCAGTGATAGTGAAGGAATGGCAATATAGTTCTGAGTCAGGATGATGTGTGGATTGAAGGGGGACTAGGAGGTCATGGTGTTCACATGTGACTACTGCATTTGTCCTTCTGGGTGGTAGAAGTTGGTTTGGGACGTGCTGTCAAAGGAGCTTTAGTAAGTTACTGCAGTGCACCTTGTAGATAGTACACACTGCTGCTACTGTAGGTCAACGGTTAAAGGAGTGAAAGTTGACAGTGGTGGATATGGTGACAATCAAGCAGGTTGCTATGTCCTGGATAATGTAGCACTTCCCTCGATTCCTGATTTTAATGGTCTCCTCAGAAGCATTCCCTTCCCTGGACCCCTCTATTGTTTCACTTTTACCCTCCTCCTCAGCTTGCAGCACCTTGTAAAACTATTGTCACAGTTGTCACTAGCTTTCGATGTTGTGGATCAGATGAAGTTCAATTTATACATTGGAGTCCTGTCTGGGAGCATTCCCCAGATCGGTTCCTCACTCTGCTGTGGTAATAGGTGACAAAGTCTCCCATGTATTCCCTGACACGTCAATCAAAATTACAGGGTCCAGTGTGGTCTGTGGCTCTGCAGAAATGTGCTGCCTCACTCTCCAACTCTTTTTTTTTGCCTTGAGTTACAAGGCAGAAGGTGCCACCCACAACGCCACAACTTCTAGCATGGTCCTGGATCCACCATTCCAACCTCATACTGTTGCACTAATCTGATTCACACCAGTCGCCCAGAGAACTGAGTAAACAAGCAGTCCTTGCGTGCATGACTAGTCTGGATCTATGGATTGCAACTGGTAAACATTCCAATTTCCATCTATCTCATAGATGACATCTCTCTCTTCTTACTCCCTGCCCCTGTATGTTGGAAAGACTCACAAGTTGATAATCAGAGATAGTAGGAACTGCCAATGCTGGAGAATCTGAGACAACAAGGTGTAGAGCTGGATGAACACAGCAGGCCAAGCAGCATCAGAGGAGCAGGAAAGCTGACATTTCGGG